TCTACTATTACAATCTACAAGAACATTCAGCAGATCCCTTTTTACCATTTAGCATGATGCACAACTCGATTATTATGGGAAGAGATTAGCAACTTGTTCTTCTGATCGTTCTATTAAAATATTCGAAATTGAAGGAGAAAATCGTCAGGAAATTGTGACATTGAAAGGGTAAATTGTGTGAATTAATACAGTTTGAGATTAATCAATTATGCACTTTGAAGCTCAGAATTTTATGTTTATCGCTTTTAGACACGATGGACCTGTGTGGCAGGTCGCTTGGGCTCATCCGAAATTTGGAAGTATATTAGCCTCATGTTCATATGATAGTAAAGTTATTATTTGGAAAGAACAGAAGGGTTCTTGGAAAAAGATCAAGGAATATACAGGGCATACAGCTTCTGGTATGATAAGATTAGTACAGGTTGGAGACGTGAGATATAATTTTTCATGTCAAGAAACGGGTGGCTTGTTATGATTTACATCGACTTGCTTGACAACTTGCTTGACATTTAGTGAATTCTGTGTCTTGGGCACCTCACGAACTTGGACCAATCCTAGCTTGTGCTTCTTCCGACGGGAAAATATCAGTGCTCACCTTCAAAGGTGCGTACTACTATAGTTTTTATTGTTCGCCTTTTCAATGTGTAGCTAAATGAGTTTATTATTTTAAAGACGATGGTTCATGGGACGCACGTACTTTTGAAGCACACACCATCGGTGCTAATTCGGTCAGCTGGGCTCCAGCGACAATACCAGGAGCATTAGTTCAAATCACTGGTGGTGCGCCTAATGTGAATGTTACCAAGAGATTTGCATCAGCAGGCTGTGATAATTGTATAAAAATCTGGGCTTATAGGTTTCATTATATTCAATATTCAATTATTTATTGTCGCAGATGATGCTAAGGTAGTATAATGTTTTGAATATATAAATACCAAATTTTTATACTCTTTTTAATTAACAGCTCTAGCCCTAATTCCCTAAAAAAAAAAAAAAAAAAATTCAAAATTTAAAAAAAAATTAAAAAATTTTAGTTTATTATATAATATTTTTTTATTTACATAAATTGTAGAAACCTGTATTGCTTTTTAATTAAAGAATATATATTTATTTTTTAATT